GACTGCGCAATACTWATCGGGAGGGGGGTTGAGTAATGAGCCAAAACATCAAAAAAGTTAATTACTACTCAGTAATGTTTTTCGCCTGTAAAACTATAACCAACGATGAGCCTTCTTCCAATGGCAAACCTTAATTATCTGCTGGTTCAAAAATATTATCACCATACTTATTTCAAACACAAGTTTCATCAATTTCAAAGTCATTCAAAGGCTGTAATTTTGTTGATTCTCTGTGTTTTTAAATCTCTCTCAATCGAGTTCTACTGATATGGTATTGGTTTCAGTGAAACGTCTTTGCAAAAAAAAATTCACACAGATTGTTGCTTTTCCCCATATTTTTGCAGTAATTTCAATATAGCATCATCATTTTCTTGTTGTCGAAATGTCAAAGCGAAAAGCCATCCTGTTATTCATAAAAACCAATGCTTTTCATCTTTGCAAATCGGTTTCCCGGATGTGCAGACGCTAGCAAATGTTTTTTGCAAAACACATGCTGGTGTGGCAATACATATCTGAACTTGTGACTTTGATAAAATTGTTTATAATCAGCGTTGAAAGGTATCGAGCTACAAGAGTAACCTTAGATGCATCAACCTACTCAAGCCGCTTTTTGACCGCAGTAACTTTGCTGGTAGCATTAGTACTGTCAATCTACAGAATCGTCTTCGTGCAAGCTTACAAGCCAACTTCAGGTCAACCCTTCACTTGTGAAGTTGACAAGAACTCTAATATTTACAATGTCTTTTTTATGGTGAGATCATTCTGCACATTGTTCTTGTACTTCTCGGTCCTTACCCTCAGTGTTGTGACGTCTCTGAGAATGCTGAAAGTCCATCCAGTTCATTATAATCTCTCTGAAGAGCAGAAAAGGCTTCGAGCGAGGCGGATCATCCTTGGTGTGAAAGTGGTTCTGTGTTCGCTGTTATTGTATTCGATATGTTATCTGCCTGACTTTTTTGAAGATCTAATAAAAGGCCTCAACCGAAATGTATTACGAGAATTAGATAAAAGTTGCAAGGATCTACTGGGATTTCTACTTCATATCCCCAAAATCATGAATTCCTGTTTGAGTCCTTTGGTGTACTTGGTCCTTCTCAGCGACTTTAGAAGGGCTGCCAAGAACCTGATCTCAAGACAAGAACAACCAACTAACAATACTGCAACATAAGGA